CTTTCAGCGTTAAGACACATGACCGGATATACTATATGGTTGCTCCTTCCCCAGAAGCCATGAGGATATGGATGGATGTCATTGTCACAGGCGCAGAAGGCTACACTCACTTCATGTTATAATAAAAGGGGGCAATAGGGCATACTGCAATAACGTAACATATGAAGTTAGCCATATGTAGGGGAATCTGAAAAGCCAGTGAATACTCTGAAATGTCCTCCTTATGATGTGCACCCGAAACCTCAGAATGAGATGGTTTTACAAATGCATTGAAAAGGGGGTGGGGGTCGTTACGTGTTTTAGTTGATCTTTACAGGAATGAAAGAGCTAAAGCTGTTGAGAGAATCACAGTGCTCCAAAATGGATAATTGGGCAATTTAAATTACAATACCTTGATTCAGTAATTTTCTACAGATTCTCTTACATGGAGAATGTCTTCAAAAAATCATGCCAAACAGTTTACAGATGTGTGTGTTCTTACCAGGAAGCAAAAACTCTAGTTACGGAACAAACAAGTGTAATAAGCATATATTTTAATATGCAGCATTTGACATTTATAGATGATTAGGTGACTTTTAAAAACTTTTAGTCAAGTATTGTATAAACAAAAAAGCAACCCTAAGGTACACACAGTTCTTGCCTTAGTAGTTAATTATTACAGCCGAGCCAAAGAGTTATACAATTCCCTTACCATGTCTTCATATTGTTAGTTGTACTTAGCTTTCTGTAAGGGGACTGTACCAAAACTCTTCATGACTTTTAATGTAATTAAATTGTTACAATATTCTGTGTGTTCAGGTGCTCAGTGATACCCACTGTATGTTTCAACAACAACAAAAGAGAACAGTAGCTTTATAAAGATGTATTTTGCCACAAGAATATGAAATGGAAACACCTGTATTAACTTCTGCATAAGGAGAGGGGTTTTTTTAGTCTTCCCTTTTGAATAGAACGAACTGATTCTAGACCCTACAGCAATTTTCTTTTATGTAATAAGGTCCCAGCATGGTTCTAATCTGACTCTGCCAAGTGGATGCTCTACTGAAACCTCTCAAATATTGGACCCCTTGAAGCCAGTATCAAAATCACTACCTAAATAAATTCTTTGGAGCCAAGTTTTCAGACCCCAAGGTTTTTTTTAAATACATACCTGCACAGAATAATGCTGTCAAACAGAACAAAAAGAGAGAGGCAAGTTGCAAGTGTTTACACTAAGCAGTTTTCAAATGAAAACCCATGAAAATTTTAAGTTGATTCCTAAAACAACAAAAATATTGAAGGTGCAGTGATTTCTCATTTTAAAGTCCTTGGGCAGTATTGCAAAAAGATAAGTTATTTAATTGAACCAAACTTCAAGAAAGTCTCTTACAATATGACTGTAAAGAGTTTCTATTTCAGTAATCAAAACTTACGTGCTGTGTCATTTGTGTCATAGAAGAAAGCACATTAGCCTTTTTTTCTTGATGGAAAATTAATGGCTTTTGATGGAACAAATATAAACCAAAAGCAGAATAGAAGTATGATGGCAGAATATTTTTATTATACTTTTGAAACCCTGTATCTGTAATGAACAGGTTGAGTTTTTTGTGATAATATACAGGTGATAAACTTGCTCTAGCACGACAAACGCCAGTTTCAACTTGAACCATGAAAGAAGGGACTGTTATCACAAACTAATTGTTATGAACTGTGGAAATCACAGCTTGTAATCTAATGATTTGAAACACTATCAGAAATAAATTGCTTTGGTTTATATAATTATTATTTTTCCCTGATGTATCTTGATTTTACTCCTAAGTATGGTTATAAAGGTTTTCTAATAATGATTTTTTGTATCCTGCATGATGCAATGAAAGCATTTCAATAAACATTTTTAAAAATATGCTTGCTTTAAATATTCTCTTTTTGCTTCATCTTGGGACATCTGTGCATGTCTTTTAAATAGTTGTATACAGTTGTGCAAGCTTTTTTATTTCTTAGTGGTGTTTAATCTAACCATTGCATATGTTTTCCCATAAAAGATCTATGGAAAACAGTGTTTCAGATGGCAGTAAAATTAGGAGCATATCAGGTTTAGTGTGTATACATAATTTAATACCTTTTTCATTTTTTATGACCCGGCTTGGAAAAGTCATCACCAGCCTTTGATTTAGACTTTTTTTTTTTTTTTTAACTGCAAAACAAAAGTTGGTGAAGTTTAGGGGTATCCCACTTTTCCCAGTATCTTACTCCAGACATGACTTGAATTGCTGGAAGCATTAGCTCATTCTAGAAGCCCATGGGGTTTTATCTTGGGGTTTTTTTCACTAGGTTTGTTATCATCACCACAAAGTGTGGTGGGTTTTGTAGTGGTGGACATCAAAGCAATGCAATCAAACCATGGTAGTAGTCACCATATGTCACAGTTTGACTCAGGTCCGACAACAATGCTCTCGATCCCCT